TTGATGGAGACAGAAAGTGCAACGGTGGTGGCCGGGGGCCGGGGAGACGCAAGAATGAAGAGCTAGCGTTTAATGGGTACAGAGTTTCCGGTTGGGAAGATCAAAACGTTCAAGAGTGGCAATGATTGCACACAACAGTGTGCGTGTATTTAATGACACGGAAGAGTACGTTTTAAAATGGCTTACATGGTAATTTTATATTATGTATATTTTACCACAATAAAAAAAAATATATTACCGAAATCCTGTAACGCATACAAAGGAAAGGGAGAAGTAACTACTTGTCAATGAAGTTGGGACTCAGAAACAGTTCAAGATAATTCCAAGCAAGAGAAACCCTTAGAAACTGATGAAACACACACACAGACACACACACACACCCCCAAAAAAACAAGAAACCAAAAAAAAAAATAAAAGAAAAACACAAAATAAAAGAAAGGTTCCTCTTTATTTTAGCTAAGGAGACTTCAGTATAAAAAACAGTAAGAGTTAATTATCTCAAAAAATTAAAAAGAAAAATACCCAAACTCTAGTCTGTTCCAAGTCTTGGCCATACAACACAAAAGTTTTGCTTGATAACTGCTATTTTAAGTAGAACAGCTACAGGAATGGAATGCACCAACAATTACAGACCTGAAGCTACCATCGCAAAATGAAACTTGGATCATTCGTAATCTTTACTGTCAAAGCAAAGCCAAATAAATTTCACTTAGGTTAATCCCATTAAGATCTAATATTGTTATCCTTTTTTAAGTGAAAATACATTTAATTAGATCACAGGAATGAAGAGACTCTGGTTCTGCCACTTCACCATCCGTTTCTTGGATCTCATGGACACGACATGAATATAGAAAGGACTATTTGCTTCTGGTACTTTATTTCGTCTCTCTCTTTCTCTTTACCCTTCCTTGCAGCCATATTTACTAGAATTCTACAATATCTTGACACCAAAGATCCTGCAAGGGGAGAAAATCTCTTCAGAAATAAACATCAGTAAAATGTTTTCCATTACCACCACATCCCTCATCCCTTCAGCAACAGAGGTCTTCATAGAATAAAGCCTTCAGCAATGAATCATGACAAGTCAGTCTGCTGCCAGATCTGATCATCTATTTCTTTTGGATCACTAAATAAAAGCTAACCAGGCAAATTAACTTTGTCCGTAGGAAATGGTAGGACGATGCATTATAAATCTCATCTCAATGCTGAAGAACAGGAGAAAAATCAATGGTGTCATGGTCAAAACGACAAGACAATGGAAAGCCTTGTCCTGGTCTTGAATAAGATCTTTCACGATGGCAAGGTCTTTTACTACGGCAGGTCACAAATAGCCATTTTGGTGGAAAATAATACACAGAGAGAGAGAAGGTAGTATGACATATAATTAAGTGTTAAGCTAACTTTGGGGGTGCTAGAATATAGAATGATCAAAATCAGCTCATGAGAACTTTCTGGCAGATCTTTAATGTGTCTGCATGAAACATAATCTCTATTTGCAAGAGTCAACTCCTTGGCATTTGTGTATTCATCTTGTTTAGTATGATCTAAAAGGATAAACACAAAAAGTTTCAATAAAATTTGAATTCCTTTTCTGGCTCTTCAAAGGTAAGGGTTTTTTTTAATTCATTCTGAGTACAAGTTTTGTTAGGATTAGAAACAGGCGGCACATGAATATTTGGTATTGCTGACAGTGAGTCTGCATATCAACAGAAAACTCAAATTTTCCAATCACATAAATCATATATTGTAATCACATGAAAAATAGCCTTTTCAATTTCCCTTAGTGAGACACACTTTTCAAAAGGCCTAAGAATTAGAGAGCCTCAAAGCCAACACGCCTCTTCAATAACCTGTTGCACAGTGACTATTCCACAAAAATCGTTTGGGAAATACATAAATGTATGATTATTTTCCTAAGAGGCACACTAAATAGTTTACTGTAACAAATCAGGTTTCAAACGTCTGCTATCAATTAAAAACAAATTCTTGAATTGATTAAATTGTTCTCATTTTGGAAAATGAAATTGCGTATTTATTTCTGCCACATCTGCCATCAGCAAGAAGGAAAGGACATACAGTAAAATAAACATTGGCACCAAAAGCGCTTACTTCTTCCCCACATTTTCTATTGGAAAAATAAAATTTGTTTTCCAGTAAGATATTTCATTAAAAAAAAAAAAAAATCTGCTACCACTCAAGGCTGGGGTTCTATTTATTTTTAAAAAAGGCCCACGAAACCTCCCAAGTGCAACTCAGATTTACATCTGGCTAATCCTGCAAATGTGACTGACCAAATTCATGCTGTTTATTTCTAATGAGTTCAGTGATTTTTGGATAATACGTGTGAAAGATAGCAAATTACCGCTAGTCAGCAGCATGCAAGCAAAAACTGTCTTGGGAAGCCAGTGTGAGCAAATCTTCCAAGTCAATTTCTAATCACACTTGCCAGCAACTTGGGGGAGAAAGGTGATAATCCCTGCCAAGAAAAATCAGTAGAACTTGTTTCCCTTTCCTTTTTCCATGAACTGTTTCAACACTCAACCAACAAATACAGCCCAACCTTTCCTTTCCATAACTTCAGACACTGCAAGGAAGGCTCTGGTCTCATTGATAGTCTCAGAAAAATTAAAAAGCTTCACACTGCAAAATGTCCTATCAGTCTCTCTCCTTCCTGGAGGTATAGCCATTTACAGGAAGGAGAAAGAAGGAGGTGAAAGAGGGTGTCATTTGCATGCTTTAAAAAATGCATATTCTGCCCAAGACACCTACAGGTGAGTAGATAAGCCATATTCAAATCTCCTTACCTAGACAAAAACTAGCCAGAAAGAGTCTAGAGTAAGTCAGCAGCAGCTCAAAACAACAAACAAAAAACTCTAGAGGTGGCAGGGAAAAAAAACCCCAAACCAGGTTGCTAATATCTTAAGAACCAGAGTTCGCAGAGCACTTACTCGTTTGAAAGCTAAGACCCCTGAGTGCATTCTTGCAGGATATTTTCATCTCGGTTTCCCAACTGAATCCCAAGCCAAACACAAGCCTAAACCTGTGGTTTTGATCCATGGCTGCAATTAGAATCACCTGAAGCGCCTTTAAATCTTGTTGTTACTGGGATGACGCCCCCACCCCCAGCCCCACCCACAACCCCAATTGAAACCAGAATTTCCTGGGGTCAGGCCAGGGCACCCGTGTCTTTCAGAGACCTCCTGGGTGATTCGACTGTGCTGCCAGCAGTCGAGGACCACAACTTTATAAGTATGCTTTTTAAAAAAGAAGGTAGTTTCTCTATCAAATACACCAGATCTCTAATTTCACTCCCTCTGTCCTGTTCCAGAAAACTACACTCACCACTTCCAATCCCCGCTCTCCTAGGCACTTCCTAGCGCAGGCGCAGCGTGTGTGTGCCGCTCTTCACAGCTAGCAATGGAAGCCGGCTTGACCCCATCCTGGTGACCCAGGTGTACGCATACGATATGCTGGGATGTTAAAGACAAATGCAAAATAGGGCGTGTAAAGGGCATAAAATGTTGGTTTTCTCTATACCTGTGGTTCTCTTAACTCTACCATGCATTGGAATCACCTGCAAGGCTTGTGAGGCCACTACACCCCACAATCAGATTTCCGTCAGGAGCTGTAGGGTCTAATTATTTGCATCTCTTACAAGTTCAGAAGTGTTGCTGATGCTGCTGGTCTTGGGCCCACATTTTGAGAACCACTGCTCTAGATGAAATTTCTGGCATCCTGAAACATTTGGAATGCCAAACAGAAATCTGCTTTTGTTAGTATCTCTATAATTATATTCCGATTGCAAGCGGAATATCGAACACTAGTTGGGTATTTGACATGAAGGACTTAACTCGTGTTCGAGGTGTTTTCTGTTTTGGCTTCGGGGCACCTCTTCGTCATTTTGTTGTTGTTGCTTTTGTTTTGTTTTCTGAGACAGGGTCTTGCTCTGTCATCCAGGCCAGAGTGCAGTGGCATAAGCACAACTCACTGCAGCCTTAAATTCTGAGTGCAAGTGATCCTGCCTCAGCTTACCAAGTGGCTGGAACTACAGGCATGTGCCACCATGCCTGGCTAAAAATAAAAATGTAAATTTAAAAAAAAAATTTTTTTTTCAGAGATGGGAGTCTCGCTGTGTTGCCCAGGCTGGTCTCAAACTCCTGGGGTCAAGCCATCTTCCCACCTTGGCCTCCTAAAGTGCTGGCATTTCAGTGAACTACCCTACCCAGCCTTAACTACTGTTTTAAGTGCAAAAATGGTGTTGTATTTATATTTAAAACAAAAGTAAGGAGTTCTGGTCATTGTGGTGGCTCACACTTGTAATCCCAGAAGTTTGGGAAGGTGAGGCGGGTGGGTCATCTGAGGTCAGCAGTTCAAGACGAGCCTGGCCAACGTGGCGAGATCCTGACTCTACTAAAAATACAAAAATTAGCCAGGCATGGTGGCGTGCACCTGTAATCCCAGCTACTTCAGAGGCCGATTGAGGCAGGAGAATTGCTTGAACCTGGGAGGTGGGGGGTTGCAGTGAGCTGAGATCACATTACTTACTGCACTCCAGCCTGGGCAACAGAGTCAGAGTCTGTCTTAAAAAAAGAAAAGAAAATTCTTCTCTTTAAGATATATATTGGGAAAGACACATACTGGGGAAAAAGAAGTCTAAAACATGCCGACCACGGTGGCTCCCGCCTGTAATCCCAGCTCTTTGGGAGGCCAAGATGGGTGGATCACCTGTGGTCAGGAGTTTGAGACCAGCCTGGCCAATGCAGTAAAACCCCATCTCTACTGAAAATAAAAAATTAGCCGGGTGTGGTGGCAGGTGCCCATAATCCCAGCTATTCAGGAGGCTGAGGCAGGAGAATCACTTGAACCTGGGAGGCAGAGGTTGCAGTGAGCCGAGATCTCGCCATGGTACTCCAACCTGGGCAACAGGAGCAAAACACTGTCAAAAAAAAAAAAAAAAAAAAAAAAGTTTAAAACATGGGAGACAGACTGACATTGGCCAAGTGCCCCAGCCTCCCTTTACAGAGGGTAAGCCTTATCCTGAAGTTAGAGCTTACCACTCCATGCATGTTTTATATCATTACAGTGTTACGATGTACACGTATGAATACCTAAAAATGATTCCAAAAAAAGAAAAATAGCACAAATAAGAAATGAATCAATCAATCAATGCAAAAAAGGAGAAGAAGGCAGTGGTGGCCATCAGGAAGTCTGCGGCAGCCAGAGAAGGGCAGGCAGCAAGCTGTAGCCACGAAGGTGAATCAGGGTTGTCCTTTACCTGGAAATCATCCTCATCCATGAAGTCTCTTACCTGAATATACTGGGTGTTAATACATCTGGAGTCACCTGAGGGTGCTAGGAGAGAAAGGGAAACTGAGTCAAAAGTTGTGAAAGTAAACTGACGGCGGACACAGTAGGGTAAGGTTTCACTACACATTTCTACGTACTTTGAAGCTTCCCAGAAGAAGATCTGGAGAGACGAGTGTTTTCTACCCTTAAGACTGTCACTGCTCTTGACTGTTCTAGAGCCACGACAGGGGCTCAGTGCAGAACGCTACATCCTCCTCACACCTGGACTAGAGCTGGAAGCATTCAGTGAGGCACGATGTCCGGACCAGCTCTGCTACTCCTAAGGCATTGCAGGAGTCATTAAGCCTTTCTGGGCTTAGATTTCATTATCTGGAAAATTTACAGGATTCTCTAGAGTGACTCCCAAAATTAATGGAACACCACTACACTTGGAAAATTACTAGTACTCGTATGTAATGAGAAGAAAAGGAGCTAACACAAATAGATAAGCTAGATGCTAGATATTTATTTTGTATGGTTCATTTAGCCTCTGAAACAATTTTGTAAAGCTAGTATCAATAGCATTAGAAGACTGATGCTGGGGCTGAGCGTGTGCAGTAACTTGCCCAAAGGTCACAGAGCTGGTAGCAGCAGAGCCACAGATCAAAATCTGGACGTGGGGCGGGATACGTAGGCTCATGCCTGTAATCCCAGCACTTTGGGAGGCTGAGATAGGCGGATCACCTGAGGTCGGGAGTTCGAGACCAGCCTGACCAACATGGAAAACGCCCATCTCTACTAAAAATACAAAATTAGCTGGGTATGATGGCGCATGCCTGTAATCTCAGCTACTCGGGAGGCTAAGGCAGGAGAATCACTTGAACCCAGGAGGCAGTGGTTACGGTGAGCCAAGACTGCACCACTGCACTCCAGCCTGGGCAGCAAAAGCAAAACTCTGTCTTAAAAAAAATCTACACCTGGTTAACTCCAAGAGGTTTTTCCCACAATACCATGGGCCCTCTACTGAAGGCATCCTTTGCTGGTAGAGTCACACCAAAGCCATAGGAAATTTTAACTCCAGATTCTAACACACATCAGGTTTGTTTTCTGTGCCCAGGCTTCTCTTTTAAAGAAAACTGGCATTTTGTGGAAATGTACTTGATGATAAAATAACTGCCCAGAAGAATACCCAACACAATTAGCTTATAATATTTCTTTTTACTTAAAAATTTATCTTTCTCTGATACTCCTCTTAAACACACACACACATTTTACAGCGGGGGTTGATGTCTTTTTTTTGAGACAGGGCCTCACCCTGTCACCCAGGCTGGAGGGCAGTGGCATGATCATGGATCACTGCAGCCTGGACCTCAGCAGGTTACGTCTTTATACAAGAAGGAAGCTTGCAAGATTTGCTCTCCTTGAACATTTTTAGAGGCTACACCCCAAAGCACCTGATTCCAAGAGCAAGTATCTTGGCAAGTCATGAAAGATTTGACTATTTCCCATAGAGTGGCTTTTGAAAAGGAGAAATAATTGTCTAGATGTTAGAAAAAAAAATCCATGTTCCTATTAGGCCGAGGCAATGAAGCAGCTTCAGCAGGTGAAGACATTGCATGAAGAAACTGGCTTTCCGGGGCTCAAGGTCATTTTTCTCTCCATATAGGGATTAATTGGCAAAACACATTCGTCCAGTGGATCAGGTAGCAAGACAACCTATTAGATAGATCAGTGGCCTGATCTAGGACACAGCTGCTCAGCTCCCTCCAGGCCTAAAATAATTCAGCATTATGGACCACCCCTCCCCCATTAAGTATAATTAATATTATGAAATGGAGAAACTAAGCATGGGTAAATAAAATGGCTGACACACACCACGCACAGCAGCAAATGCCAACTGCGCACAGCACACCAGTTCCCGCTGACCTCAAGGTGCTAATGAGGGAGTTTGGCAAAGACTGCATGAAAAAGCCTCCTACATTTACCCAGCCCTAACCCCAATCCAGACTTCTCCCACTCCGCAGCAGGAGGGCCTTGCTAATTGGCATCTGTTGAACACGTGGCCTGAAATTTGTTGTGGCAGCACACACCTCCACTGCATCCTGACCCACACACACAGACACACAGACACACACACACACAGACAACACACACAGACAGACAGGCACACACAAACACACAGACACAGACACAGACACACACACAGAAAACACACACACACAGACACACAGGCACACACAAACACACACAAAGACACAGACACACACACAGACACAGACACACACACAGACACACACACAGACACACAGGCACACACACAAACATACACACATACGCGCACAGACAACACACACACACAGGCACACACAAACACACACAGACAGACACAAACACACACAGACACACACAGACACACAGGCACACAGACACACACACAGACACAGACACACACACACACACACATACACACACACACAGACACAAACACACACAGGCACACACACACAGACACACACACTGACACACAGCCACAAACATACACAGACACACAGGCACACACACACACACACACACCACACAGACACACAGGCGCACACACACAAACACACAAACACAGACACACAGACACACACCACACACACAGACACAAACACACACACAGACACACAGGCGCACACACACAAACACACACACAGACACAGACACACACAACACACACACAGACACAAACACACACATACACACTACACTCAGATTTCTTAGTGTTTTTTAAAAATCTAAACGTGACAATACATATAATCTTTAAAATTAAAGGGCAACGTGCCAAACATAAAGGCAGGTGGAGGTGGCTTTGTAAGTGTACATCTCCCTGGAAAGCTGGTGTTAACGACCAGAGTTGGTAACGACAAAGACGCCTGGGGAAAAGAGACCCTCTCATCACATCAGCTGGTAGCTGTAAGGGAAGACGGTTGCTCTGAATTTCCCTTTATACACGGCAACTTCAAAAAAATCCCTATTTTCTTAGAACATCTTTATGTAGAAAAGCCTGCATGCCTTTGAAGCCTCAACACAAAACAAACTAGCGTCTTTACAAGTCCTGTCCGGCCACCCAGGGAGAACCAAATAGTATTTTTTTCTCCAGTAGGCCACCCCAGGATACCACAAATAAAAATGAAAAGGAGGAATTCGTCATGTAACCGGGGTGTATTTTGCTAGTGTAGTCATTACACTGTTTTAATCTAAATATTATGGTATATTTTTAACTGGCAAAGACCAAGATCTAATTATTCATTTATTGGACAGAAAAAGTTCTGAAATAGCAGAAAACAGGTTAAAATCTAGGAAACAGCAGAGAAGGGAAAGATAAAGGAGTTGTTTTTTTTTTGTTGTTGTTGTTGTTTTGCAGAATCCCAAGAATTGGGCAGAGGTTTTTTTAAAAGTGCTGATGTTCAGAATGGTAGGATGGGGAGCCAGAGCCCTGAATTCCGTAGCACAGAAGCCAGAGATGAAAATGCCCAAGGGCTTAGGCTGCAGGAGACATCTGGGGAGGGGAGTTTCCTCAGCACCACATGGAAGAGCTTAGGAGCATGGAAGGATGTTAGAATCGTAAGAAGGTCTTAGAGTCATAAACATCCTGAAATGTACTCCTCTGATCACGTCTCCACTCTGCACAAAATCTCTTAGGGGCCAAAGAAAGACCACACTCTGTAGCCAGACAATAAAGAGCCTCCTCAAGTGCCAAACTGTCATCCCAGGCTCCGTTTCCACTGCTTCCATGAAGGGACACTGTGCTCCAGTGCCACCCAAGTCCATGCTGTTTCTCAGGTACTCGGGGCACTTCCACCCGGTTGTGCTAGGGCACTGATGGTATTCTTTGCCTGAAATATCCTGGGCCAAGTGTGGTGGCTCACACCTGTAATCCCAGCACTTTGGGAGGCAGAGGCAGCAGGATCACTGGAGCACAGGAGTTCAAGACCAGTCTGGGCAACATGGTGAAACTCCATATCTACAAAATTACAAAATTTGCCGGCCGTGGTGCTGCATGCTTATGATCCCAGGTACTCTGGAGGCTGAGGTGGGAGGATCGCTTGAGTATAGAAGGTGGAGGTTGCAGTGAGCTGATACTGCAGCAGTGCACTCCAGCCTGGGTGACAGAACAAGACCCTGACTCAAAAAAAAAGAAGGGAAAGAAACGGGAGAAGGGAAGAAGGGGGCAGGAAAGTAGGGGAGGAGAGAGATATCCTGCTCTCCTCATCTTTCTACTGACTCAATTTTTTTTTTTGAGACAGAGTTTCACTCTTGTTGCCCAGGCTGGAGTGCAATGGTGCGAACCTCCACCTCCTGGGTTCAAGCGATTATCCTGCCTCAGCCTCCCAAGTAGCTAGGATTACAGGCATGGGACACCATGCCTGGCTAATTTCGTAGTTTTAGTACAGACGTGGTTTCTCCATGTTGGTCAGGTTGGTCTCGAACTCCTGACCTCAAGTGATCTGCCTGCCTCAACCTCCCAAAGTGCTGGGATTACAGGCATGAGCCAAAGCGCCCGGCCACTGACTCAATTCTTTAAGACAAAGAGATGAAAGGGGGTTGACAGACCTCCTCTTGATCACAACTCTGCTGCAATGCAGCCAGGTGGCTTTGGGCCAGTTACTTAATCTCCTTTCTGGCCTCAGTTTCTTCACCTGCTAAATGGGGATAGTAAAGTGAAGAAAATCCACTACTGTGAACATTGAATGAAATGAGGATGCTAATCAACTAAAGATGTTAATAAATGCCAGTTTGCTCTCCTCAAACACAAGTGCCACCTTCACTCTTAAGCATTCCTTAACATCTGCAGCCACAACTCAGCTCCCCTTTCTTGAAATTCCCATCACACAACACGTTAACCGCAGCTCTGTTTGGTTCTTGGTCATTCTCTACTCACATTTTTGCCATGTTTCTATATGATAGCACACCTACCAGACTATGTGCTTTCGGAGGGCAGAACCCATGTTTAATTCATGTTTGGATTCTTTCCAATTGTCTTGCTCAAACTGTAATCAAACAGTAAGAATCATAGGATTCTA